CCTCGCTCCGCTGCCGCCGCCGCCGCCGCCTGGGGCCGGGAGAAGGAGCTCCTCGGATCCTGGCTTCTCGCTTCCCCGCAGGGATGGAGCGGGGCGGCGGGGCCGCGGCTCGGCTCCTCTCCGCCGGGAGCAGCCGCCCTCTCCTCCGGCTGCCGGAGCGGAGCAGCCCCGCCGCCGGGTACCGGCCCCCTTGCTAGGCTCCCGGGGGGTACCGAGCCCCATCCCGCACCTCCTGGACCCTTCGTGCACCCCCTGAACCCCTTTGCATCCCTCCCACCCCACCCTCTTGTGCATCCTTTTGTGCATTCCCTCCAACCCCCTGTGCACCCCCAGACCCTTTGTGCATCCCCCCCCTCCCCAACCCTCCTGTGCGCCCCCAAACCCCTTGTGCATCCCTTCCATCTCCTTGTGCACCCCCTCGTGCCCTCCCCTCCGTGGCTTCCAGCCCCAAATTCCCCCCTTGCATGCAGCCCCAGGGCTGCGGGACCCGGGGCCACGCACCATGGGCACCAAGCAGACCAAGGGCTGCCAGCCGGGCAGCGCCGGGGAGAGCCCCCCGGCTCCCCACCGCAAGAAGGTACCCCCCAGGGAAAGGGGGGACTTCCTTGCCTCCCTCGTGGTGAAGTCCGGCGAGAAGTTTGGGAAGGGCGGTGGCAGCAGCTTGCCCCCTTACCACCGGCGGATCTGCATGATCCAGGACATGCTGGTGCTGGTGAAGCAGGGGAAGCAGGAGGAGGCCACCGAGCTGCTGAGGGGGGGGGGGGGGGGGGGGAGGATGCTGCCTGCTTTGCGGTGGGGAAAAGACATTCATAGAGGCAAGACACATCCCAGTGCCAAAAGCCTGCTAGCAAGGAGGGGGCACGCTCCGTTTTTTTTTTGCGGGTCTAACTTTCCGTGGCGTAATTTTGGGGAAGTGGCTGAGGAGCTGCGGGGTGGTCATGGTGCTGGAGATGGGAAAATAACCCCGGGGAGGTGGTTTGCATTGTCTGCAGCGAGGAACCCTGCTGGGTGCATTTTTTTCCTCTCTCCCTTCATTGCTTGCGCTGATAGCTCTGGGGTTTGCAGTATGCACAGCCCACTCAAGGAGGTTCCCACTCAACTTTCAAAAAGTTTGGTGTTTAAAGCAGATCTGTAAAAGCGCTGCGGCAATTTGAGCGAGGAGCTTTTGAAAATCAGCTCTTCCCAGCTTAGAAAGACCAACAGTTGGCAGCTTTGCTTTTTATCTTGTTCTTTGTGACACACACTCGGTGGAGTTTTGGTGCCTTGTAGAAATGAGCAGGCGAGACGCTGCGCGAGAGGGAGGAATTAATTGTACGGAGCGTGAGACCTTTCCCCTTGAAAGTCTGTTTGAGCTGGGCATTAGCTGAGGAGCAACACCACGGAAAGTTGCTGTGAGCAAACAGAAAGGCAGCTGAGGAGCACTGCTCTGTATCCAGCAAATTAGTGTGTAACCTTTTCTGCTGATAGAAAGTGATAAAAAGACCGAAGTGCTGGATATTTTCAAGGCTCTGGGGTACACAGGGTTCTGAAAAACAGCAAGTTTTCCATGCAAACTGAAAACAGACCTGGCTTCAAGCTTGATTTTTCTCCCAAGGAGCCTGCAAGGCACCCAGCTGTTTGGCGTAACCAGTTCTACCACCTGGGGAAAAGTTGCGCAGATCTTTGCTGGGCATCGGGAGCTGCTTTTTTGCCCCATAGATCTGCTGTGTGTCTGTCTGTCCACATGAGAACAGCTGGTCCAGAGTCTTGTGGTTTTCTTCTTGGTTTTGTTTTGCATTTTTTCCCCCCCGTTTTCTGGTCCCATTAACTTTTTAGCAAGTGGATGTGTTGTTCGGGGCATGTCCCTGACCCCTTCACCCCTTGTCCCCAAGGGACACACTTCAATTCACCCCGTCGGCCAGCGTCCCTCTTCCCAGATGGCTTACGTGACTTGGGACTATCTTTGGACCCATCCAGCTGAGAAATCTGAACAGTTTCATATGGGTTTGCATTCCTTTATAGAAAGCTCTCGTGACTTACTCTCAACCTTGAGATAAGATGCTTTTTCTGAGGGGAACACTCCCTCTCTCTGGGAGTTGGGGGTTTGACTCTGTGGGATGGTGACCTCTCTGTGCAGGAGCTGCGTGGCCGCGGTGGGTCAAACGTGTGGCTGGGAAAACCCCGTGGGGCAGAAGTGGCCGTGATCTGTGCCAAAATGTTGTACCCTCTCAGCCCTGCCAAAGCTTTATCATTGCACCAGCAGCCCATTGGAGCTGGCAGAACAGCAGGTGCTAATTTTAGAAGGTGTTTATAACAAACACCCCCCCAAAAAAATAAATCTTGGTGCCTGTGAGTTGCTCCCAAGTTCCCTCTGGCTTCAGGTACTGTTTTTTCTCACTGATGCTCTGGACTGTCCTCTCCTTACGGGTTGGCCGTGCAAGGTGTGAGGGAGCTGGAATGTGTCACAGTGGCTGCCCCAGTGACAAATCTGACCATGGGGGCATCCTATCATTTGACTAACAGGGGGAAAAAAAAAGCTAGAAATTAATGTTAATATTCTGGGGGAAGCGAGGAACCTGTTACAGTCAGATAAGTCTTTGTGAGTGAGTGTTTCTGAAGAGCTTGCTCTGATAAAATATATCTTAGAGTGTCAAAATAGGGAACACTTTGTCCTAGATACTATAATAGACTCAAAGCACATTTTTAATGAGGCGGTATTATTCCTTGCCTCTGGGTAGCAAATGTGGGATGCCCCAATGAACAAATCCCAATTGCTGTGGTTTTCCACGGGCTAACTTTTGGGAGGAGGTGTTTTAGGGGTGATCGGTGGCTACGAGGGATGCTCAGTTTGCTCCCGAGGAGCTGGGGATGTGAGGCAGCGGGAGTCTTGGAGAGCTCAGCTCCTGCCACGTCCCAGCCTGAAAATGTGGACATGGGGGGAAGGACGAGCTTCCCTCTGCAGAGACAGCTGGACAGGTGAGCGTGGTGGGACAGAGACCTCTTCTCCTGAGCTATTAGTACAGCATCCACTGGTGTTGGTTGGTCGGGGTAGTCGCTAGCGTAACACGCGATGATGCTGATGCTGCAAAACTGGGGGTTTTGAACAAACCTAGTGACCTGATGCCCAGCTCTCAGTTTTGTTTAGTCTTTTTATCTTTTGAAAATCCCAGCTATTTAGGTCACTGGGAGCCTTTCCACTGACTTCACCAAGTTCTGAAGCCAGCCCAGCGTGCTTGCGAGGGGGTAGGGGACAGCATCCCCACGGTTTGGAGGTGCTCCATCCTTTTTTTCAAGCGAGATGAGCATGTTGCCAGACCTGAGGCTGATCAGTTTTCCAGCTTTCCTTGGCGTGACGTCCTGCACAACCCACGTCCTGCAAGACAAGGTTCAGGAGGCTTCTCTCTCCTGCCAGGCTTCCCCCCCAAAAAGTTGTGTTTAATAATCAGCCAAAGACTGGGGCAGCAAAACTATATTTTAAACATCACGCCAGAGCATGGACAGGTTCACTCTGGCACCAACGTCCAGCACGGCCTTTTGCATTTAATCAAATTTATCCATCCTCCTCCCTTCCTCTGAAATGGGAGTGATGCTGTTTTCTTTATAGGCTCTCGTAAGGATTATTTAGTGTTTCCAGGAATGCTTGGTGGCTGCAAACAACTATAAAAGTGCTAAGATGCGAAGCAGACTTCTTTTTGTTTAAAAAGGTAAAAAAATGTGAAACAGCAGACGGACTTATTTGCTTGGAGGCTGCTCCTCGGAGAGGTCAGGAGCGGTCTCCATTGCGGAGGCAATTCGATCCCGCTGCCTGCCCTCAAAATAACACTTGTGTTATTGCTGCGCGCAGGAGCTGGCACCAGCCATTTGAAAGGGTATGTGCTCCTTTGGCACGGCCCAGCCTCATCTAACGACAGGTTCTTTTAGCTAGAGATACTGGTTGTTCTTTCCCTCTGCTCTGACAACACCTCGACTGCCCGGAGCCCCAAAACCCACACTGCAAAATTAAAATGCCCTCCCAAAAAAGTGCTGTCCGCTGCCCTCTTTGGCTGAGGAGTGTTTTCCCATAAGCCATCCTTGCCAATGCTGCACATAAGATGCTTTTGGCAGTTAAAGGCATTGGAGGATAAGGAAATACACTGAAATACTTAACATTTTATTGAGGCTGGAGTTCAGGGTTGCAAGAAGCTTGCTAGTCACCTGGATGGAGCCAGTTCTTGTGCTGAATAACTTTGAATCCAGTTTCTCTGCTGTAAAACGACTTCCTGGATTTACCTGTTGGCATCTTCTCTGCTTTCCTGCAAGAAGCTGCTGTGGGGCCTCACCCGTTTCAGAGAAAACTGAATTAATTGAGGGTGTCCAGCACATGGAGAAACCAGGGAGCCTGTATCTCGACCCTGCTGGCTGTCACTGGTGGGAGAATTGCGGCTCCTCTGTGCTGATGAATTGCTGTACTTGATACCACCAGTTGCAGAATAGGATAGGCTTTAATATTATGTAGTGCATCACTTTTTTTTTTTTCTTTTTTTTTAAATTTTTTTTATGCCCTCTTGAGTTTCAGTGGTTAAAGCAGCCAAGTGCTGTCAGTATATTAAATTCTGGGAGTGTCTCTCCTGCTGGGGAGAGGATTTGTAAAACAAAGCATGTTTTCCTCCTCTCCGCTGCCAAACGGATCGTTTTCCCAAGTGAAATGGTGAGGCGCTTCCCAGCACATTACGTTTCACTCGAAGAATTTGCCATTGGTTATGGCTCAACGTGGAGTTTTTGCTGGGCTGTTGCTGCTGTCGCTGCTGCTCCAGCAGAGCTGGGCTGATGGGAGAGAGAAAGAGGAGGAAGAGGAGGAGGCATCTGCCAGCTCTGGCCATCACCTGCCCAGGGCAGTGGGGTACAACAGTTCCAGGAATTAAAACAAAAAAAAAGAAAGGGGAAAAGAGGGCAAAGTATTGTAATAAAACCTCTTGGCGCTGAAGATGGCCAGAAGCCAAATGGCAAGGTCCAAGGTGTGGCAAAGCTTCATGACTTGTAAAGTGGCTTCTCTGCTCAGGCCAGGGACGGTGTGTGAAGGGCAGGGAGGGGGGGTCAGGGCCCTAAATGGGGACAAAGACACCGCGATAACTCCAGTTTGCAAGAAGGGGCTGGGGGCAAACACGCTCTGATGCCCACCGAGGTTTGCAGACCCTGTGCCCGCAGTGCAGGTGGCCATGGACAGCCTGCGACCCCCATGGTCTGTCCCCCAAACGTATCCCAGCTGGGGGGGCAGGTGTCCCCCTGCCCCATCTGAAGCCGACCCCTGGGTTTTGCAGCCTGGGGGGGAGCAATGCACGATGTGTCCCCACATCTGTCCTGCTGTGCCCATGATTAAATGCCTGTTACTTCTGAGCAGCTGCCTGGTGCTGTGGGGACTGCACAGCACAGGGATGCTTTGTTAATTAAATGATGAATATCTTCATCGTAAGAGGGGGATTGGCCAGGGGAAATAGTTTAAAAAAATTTTTTTTAAATGGCTAATGTAGAGACAGTTCACTTTGGGCTCCTGTGGCCTTCTCCCCACTACACCAGAGCAAAGGGCTATGTGATAAAATTAAAAAGCAATTACTCAGGGTGATTCTTCTGTTTAATGAACATTGGTAAGTGCATTAAATGGCAGCCGATGTAGACAGAGGGCTGTTTATTCCAGTTGTTCCTGTGATTTCTATCACACCTGTCCCTGTTTTCTACCCCAGTTCCCCCAATATTTAGGATTTTGCAATTTCTGGGGAGGCAGGAGCTGTTGGGGGGAGTTTGGTGCAGGGCTGTGGTGGTGATGAGCCATGGCCGATGGTTGCTCCCCCATGGGCTGCCCCAATGAGATACCAAAAGGCCAGCAACCTTCCTGGGGAGGGTAAGCACTGCTTCTGGAGCTCTCAGAGAGAGAAATGTGGATGTTTCCAGCGTCTCGTGGGTGCCTGGAGATGCTGAGATGGGGAGGGGAAGGTTTCCCTGAGTTCAGAGCAGCTGGGCAATGTTACACCTGGGAAGGCTGGCAATGCAGGCACAAATTTAGCCCCTTGGTTTAACTTTGTGCACTCAGAGAAGCTCCTAAAGCATTTCATGGCTCAGTATCAGCCTGGTCTGTGTGTTACACTTTGTGTTACACAATGTGCACCTTTGTGGTACACGCTGTAGGTCAGGAGTGCTTTCAGGGTTATTTATTTACCCAAACTACACTTAATAGACAGAGATGCTGTTGCATAGTAGATCCCACAGAGGTGGATGTGCTGTCAGGCTAGTTTGCGATGATTGCGGCATCTCTGGCAGCTCAGCAGGATGAAGGGGAAGTTTTCTGGTGCCGCCTTGTCTCAGATTCAAGCTTTCCCCCCGAAGGATGCTGGCCCGTGGGGTTTGCACTGGCCTCGAAACATGTGCTTCAGCCCTGCTGATGCCAAAACTGCTTCAAAGTTCCTCCTCAGCCATGCGATCTGACGGGCTTATTGACATCTAGAGCAGACCTTGGGGAGCGCTGCGGTCTGGTTGATATGATGCAGCCCAACCGCAGCCCAGGGGTGCCTCGTGGCTGGACTGTGCTTGCTCTTGGCTCCGCACACACCACCCTTGGGGCATCGTCCCCATGGAGAGCATCCTGTGAGCCCTCTGGGATGCTGGAGGACCTTCGGCATCATTTCTGCCACACAGTTGAATGCCTGGTTCTTCCTCCTGAGCGCTAAGACCAGTTGATGCACCAGAGGTGACCGGAGCTGGGGTTTCTTGGCTCCTGGCAGCCTGTGAGCTGCTGGCAGGAGGGTAAGGATGTTGGGGTTTGCAGCACTGGGGTTTTTTTTCATGAGTGGGAGTCCCTGGGGACAGGGAACAGGGTCCAGGCTGGGTGCCCACTCTGCACCAGCACCGGGCACCGCATGGTGGAAGTTGGGTAACCCCATGGCGTGGCTTTGGGATCAGCACTGGTTTCCTTTGCTTTGGGTTGCTGACAAAACCACCAGCGCTCCCCACTGTTGTTTTTAACCCTTAGGCTGCTGGTGGCTTTGACAGCAAATGACTGTACCTGGCAATGGTGGGGTGTTTTCTGCCCCAACGAGGGTCTCTGCACTGTGCCCTCTAACCCTGCCCTGCTGCCAGCTGCTCTCTTGCAGCCTCCTTTCTCCAATTCCTTCCTACCCTGGCTCCTTCTGCTCTTTTTCCTTCTCCCATGAGATTCGCAGGTGGATACATCCCAGTGTCTGCTTGGCATCCGAGCAGCCTGGTTTTAATTAACCCCCCGGAAAGTGGCTGCTGCTGCTCCTGCTAAGGCAAATGTGTCTTTGGGGGATGCTGAGATGCAGGGAGGGAGGGGAAGGTCAGGCAGTTCCGGGGTGGACGGAGGTGGTACGTGCTTGGCAGTGTGGGCTCAGTCCCAGCGCGGCAGTGATGCTCACCCTGCTGCTGGTGTGAAGCAGAGCGGGTTTTCTCTTCTGGCAGGCATGTCTTCCCTGGAATTGGGGGGTCACACGCATAAGAAATGAGTGGTGCCAGTGGATGCATTAATGCAACACACTGAAGGCAACTGGGCAGGCCCTTCTTGCTGCAGGGACAGCAGTGAGAGAGCTCAAGCAGGGGTGAGATTCATGTTCACATATCTGCTTGCATCTAAGAAGTGTGTCCTAGACTAGCTCCCTCCAGAGCCAGTTTTCCATGGGTTCCCAGCTCAGCCTTTCCCCCATCCTAGCTGCTGGAAGTACTGCTGCCTCCAAAGACTGCGTGCCCGGGGAGGTGGTGGCTCCCACGCACGCCAGAGCTCAGGAGGAGCACGGGGCTGCCTCATCTCAAAGGGTCAGGGATGAAACTGCTGGGTCTGACCTTGGGTTCCTTCCTCTGGACCTGCAGAGCTGGGCTGGGTTATGCTGGGCTGGGGTAGACCAGGCTGCTGCTGGCCAGGGACAGTGGGCACCTGGCTGCTCCCAAACAGAGGAGAAGGTCCTGCTTGTGCCCCTCTGGAGCCAGAAGTCTCCAAGCTGGGGGAGGTTAATGGTTGCAGTTGGCAAGCCAGCCCCTATTCAACACTTTATCTGTTTCTAGAATAGCAGGAATGTGTCTTTTTTTTCCTCCCCCAGGCTGCTGCTGCTTTCACATCTGATGTGAAACGCAGGCAGCTCGGGGCTCCAGCCCTCAGACAGGCTGGCATGCACCTTTTTTTTTTTTTTTTTTTTTTTTTTTTGCAGTAGGCACTTATTCTGAGCATATTTCTTCCAGGAATTTCTTTAGCTTCTAGATAATAGCGAGAGAGATTATTGACCTCAAAAGTAATTTGAGGAGATTAACTCTTCAGACTCAGAAGTAAAGTATTATTGTTTGAACCACATCTGGCATCATAACTTTGTTTCAATTATAAAAATGTGTGCTCAAGAACAGTCCCAAGCCCTTGAGTAACACAAAAAGCGAGAGTAGCAGGGCAGTGATTACACCTTTCGGTTGCTAGATGGGACTCTTAATGGCTGAGGTCTGGGATTTTTTGC